TCTACAAATTGCTCATTTCTGCTAACAGTGAGCTCCTGTGTAGCCCCTTTCCTGCAATCAGCAGCTGTGCTCGAGGCAGGGTTTATAATTTATGGCAAACATAAATACAACACAAATCATTTGAAGATGTACAGATGAGAAAAAACGAGCCTCCTCTGGTCCAGATGGCAGCTTTAGCATCCTTGAGTGGAAGGTGTTAGTCGTTAAGCACTTTGCAATAAATACAGTGGGAACTCTGAGGATGTTACCAGCTACAAGGAACACAGACTGCATGAATCAGGCTTCAGGGCAGCAAAACATTCCTGTGCAAAAAATGCAGGTGAAAGGCAGCTGCAGACCTCTGAACACAGCAACCTGTGGCTGGTTCATGCACCTCAGCTCACGCATCTTTTACTTCAGGAGCCCCCTTATCAGAGATATCGGGGTCACTGCCCACAGAACAATTCACAGCTTTCATGCTCCTAACATCAAGTTAGTCATTAACTGTTCCTGATCCTGTTAACAGTGGACTCAGGGAAAGAGTCAACACTTGAGACAAACTAGCACAATCTGTTTAGATCTATGGCCTCCACATGAGCAGCAGCCAGCCTCTTCTTAGGCAGGGCATCTGATAACAACCCCCAATCTTGCTTTAAGTGCAAATCGAGCAAGATATGATATCAGTGCAAGACAAGAAAGCAAATTCCAAGGCCACAACTGGGGGAATAAGCTACATTCCCTGACTTTATAATAGAGTTGTATTATTATTCTTTATTCCTGGCACTATGTAGAAAGTTTTGGAGCCTTTAGATTAAAAAAAGATATCTTTAGTCCCTCTTAGTTGTGCTTGCACAGCTGTGCTCACATTCCAGACCCTGTACGAAGACAAACTCTCAGAGAAATCCCCCCGAGCAGGCAGAGCGCAGTCCCTTCAAGGCATTTCAGGGGTCGGCCTCCTCTTTCTCCTCCTCCTCCGCAGGCAGAGCCCTCCTGCCGCCCGGGGCGGGTTCCTGGGGAGCGAGAAAGGAAAAGAAAAACACCACTGAGCACTGCCCAGGCGGCTACGGGGCTCTAGGGGGGGGGTGGGGGGAGGAGAGGCGGCCCCGTTCTCCGCGCTTACAGCGGGCGGCGAGCGGCGGGCGGCGCCCAGGGCGGCTCTCAGCCCCTGCAGCTCCGCCGCCAGCTCCTCGCAGGCCGCGATGCGGGTGCGGAGGTGGCGCTGCCGGGCCTCCAGCAGGCTCCGCAGCCCCCGCAGTCGCTCCACCTGCGGGCGGCGGAGAACAGCGGGTCACGGCAGGGCGGGGCAGGGCGAGCCGGGCAGGACCCGGTGCAGTACCCGGTCCGTCCCGCTCCGTCCCTCCCTCAGGCCGGCAGCACCGACCAGGCGCGGCTCCGGCTCGCTCCCCCCGGCCGCCTCCATAGGCGGAGCCTCCCGCAGGCCTCGCTGCTGCTGCTTGCGTTGCCATGGCAACGGCGGCCGGAAATGCGCCGCGGCTGCTTCCGGGCGGAAGCGGAAGAGGCTGCTCGGATGCTGAGGGCGCTGGCTGGGGTGGGAAGGGGCGGGGAGGGGGCACCGGGACCGGCACCGGGACCTGGACCGGGGCTGGGCCGCGCCTGCAGCAGCCCCCTGGTGCTCCCCGGTGCTGCCGCCGCCGCCCCGACGAGCCCACGAGGTGCGTGGGGGGATCACGGGGAGAGGCTGAGGCCGCGGCCGGGCCTGGGCTGAGGGGAGGGGGAGGCTGAGGGGCCCTGAGGGGGCCCTGAGGGGGCCCTGAGGGGGCCCTGAGGGGGCGAGGCCGGTTCCTGCTGAGCCCCCGTCGCTGTCTCCAGGCTGGGCGGAGGTGCTGGCGGCCGCCGCCGGTGCCCTGCAGGCTGGCGGGCTGGTGGCGGTGCCCACAGACACGGTGTACGGCGTGGCCTGCCTGGCACAGGACTCCCGCGCCTGTGCGGAGCATCTACGGCCTGAAGGGGCGCAACGGGAGGAAGCCGCTGGCCATCTGCCTCGGGGACGTGGAGCACATCTACCGGTGAGCTGCCCACCGGGGGCCGGGACGGGCTGGGGCAGGGAGAGGCAGCTCCCCTCTTATTGGTCTGCAGGGCGTGAGGCTGATGGGGAAGGGCTCTTGCAGATGCCTCTCACCTGTCCTTCATAGCCCGATTCTCCCTCTGTAGGTACTGCCATGTGAACGTGCCGGATGAGCTGTTACGGGACCTGCTCCCTGGACCTGTAACCCTGGTCCTGAAGCGATCGGAAGAACTCAACAAGGACTTGAATCCCTTCACCTCGGTAGGTCTCTACCATGGGATGCACCTCTGTGTCTTTGGTGGGCAGCATGCTGTTTTTATGGTTCTGTCATAGGAGCTTTCATTCTTACACGTTTTTGGTATGCTTAACAGCAATTGGTATTTTTTGACACTCATTCCTGTGTTGTTGTGTTCCCTGTGGCTTACCTGAGTGTGGCACAACCCAGCATTATGTGCTACATCATGAAGGCACACCTGTTATTACTGCCGGTGCAGCAGGTGCTGGAATATTAATTCGCTGTGCTGTCAACTGTAGTTCAAAGGCTTTTGGCAAGGCAAGATTAAAAATGGTCTGTGGTGACTGCATGTAAAACTGTGCTCTCTTCTTCCTCGTAGTTGGTTGGCGTTCGCATTCCAAACCACCCTTTTATTAGGGAGCTGGCACGAGCTTGCTCTGGACCCCTGGCTTTAACAAGCGCTAATATCAGCAGTCAGGCGAGCACACTGACGGTTTCGGTAAGGCTCTTTTTGCTACTAAGTGGGATTCTTCTGCTAGGCTGCCAGAGCCCTGGGCGCTCAGGATTGGAAGTCAGTCATAACACTAAAACAAGGATTTCTCAGTTATTTCCTTTTTTTTTTTTTAAGTGACAGTCAACCTGCAGACTTGTGGTGTGGGGCAGCTGTCTGGCTGTGATCTCCACCCTGAAAAGTGTGGAAGGCAGAGCGTAAAAGTAATATTTACATGCTTGTGCTTGCTTTATGAAGCAGGTACCAAATCTGAAAGACAGAAATTGCTGTAGGGGGGTGGCTGTGGAACGAGACTCCTGGTGTCTGTGCAGCTTCTTGCAGCCTGAGAACCGGCTTTAACTCCAGGAGATGTCTCTTTGCTTACCTCGGGAGGGAGAGTTGGGTACAATACCAAGGCACCCTCTGGTCCAAAATGTCTTGCTGTTTTTGTGCGTGTGCTCTTTAATAAGGTGGTGCAGCTATGCACTTGTGATCTGAGAATTCTTGTAACTTGTCTGCATGTGGAAGGTAAATCTGCTCTCAGATATCAAAATGGGATGTGCTCATGACAGGGAAAAGAGATGATCTGACAGAAAAAGGAGACTGCCTCCCTTGACACTAGACTGCCCAGTGGTATTTGCTACAACACGAACACAAACCATCTTTAGGGTTGTTAGCCATGTGTCTTTTTTACAGGAATTCCAAGACCTTTGGCCTCAGTTGTCCTTAGTCATTGATGGAGGCCCCGTAGGGGATGTCCAGAGCCCAGAGTGCCGTCTGGGGTCAACCGTGGTTGACTTATCTGTGTCGGGGAAGTACACCATCATCCGACCTGGCTGGTGAGCACTCTGCTACATGGAACTTTTTCTTTACTTTATAGAAATGAGGCCTTCAGGTTAGGGTGGGTCATGTTTTGCTTGTTTGTCCATAGAAGTTAAACCTTCAGATTAATGTGTTTAGCTTAATTACCAGCATACTCAGGAATCGTGAAGGAGCACTCCAAATATTGAACATGGGAGATCCCTTTCTGGAAACTTCTACATGACACACCCTCGTTTCTGCAGTTCGTGTTCTCCTTAATTCAAAATTACTGCATCTTTAGCTGATTACTTTCCCAGAAAATGCAGTTGAGTGCTTAAAACCCCCCCGTTTTTCTCTGACGGTTCTGTTTCGCCCCACAGTGCGCTGCAATCCACAGTTGAAATCCTGAGACAGAAGTATGGCTTGGTACCGGAATCATCCTAAGACTTCAGACTCCGAGGAGGCTCTGCAGAGCTGGTGAAGCTGGGCACCGTGTGCCTGTGCGTTCAGCAAGTGCTGTTAATGGCCTTGTTTAATGAGGTCGATGGGTTATGGCAGGTTAATAAACAAGGGGTAATGAGAGTGACAGTCGATGGGGATCTGTTAATTACTGTTACATCTGCTGAAGCCTGAGAATCCAACCCGGGTATTTCTGCTGATCTCTTTGTGCTGCTGTACCGTTCCCCCAAACCTGTCTGTTTTATTTACCTCATCTAAAATAAAATAATTTGGATGTTGGACTGTTCTCAGGATGTGATGATGCAGACAGCGTCACTGGTCCTCCTTCCCCATAAAACTTATTCCAAGTGTTCATTTATTCTATCTACGCCAAAAGGAAAACAAGGATAGAAAAGAGGTTTTTTTGGGCTTCTATGAATTTATAGGTATGTTGTTCTCTAGCTTGTTCTTTGTTCTAAGTAGAATTGAAACCTACTAAGGTGAAACTGGAGGTGCTCTTGAAAATTAACAGTAATCAAGTGTCCCCTCCCTAGAAAAGTGTTGCTTAGAAAGACCTGACTTCCTGCTAACATGGAATAATGCCAAGCTCTTGGTGTGCAGCTCGTCATCTTTTAATGTGGGTCTTCCTCTCTTAATTTTGTTCTGTAACCAGTGATTAAGCTGAATAGGGTACGGATGAAAATTTGCTCTGGTATTTACTCTTCAAGGAAAAGTAAAATTTATGCAGCTATTAACAATTTAAAAACTGTTAAGGAACTTGCGTGCTTTTGTTATAAATGCTGATTTTTAGTTACTGTTGTCTGTCACTTCCGACAGACTTAAGTGCTTAACTAGAACATGTATGAAATCATCATGAATAGAACCTCGTTTCACATCCAGAGCTGCTGCTTCTCATTTTATTGATATAGACAACTGTAAAGTAATTTTATGGCTAATTTAGAAGGGTCTGAGCATGACAGTAAAAGGGAAAACTACTGTGAGCTGAAGTTCTTTCAGAGAACAAATGAATGGTATTTTCAGCTGCATTTTTATTGCAAGTGGCTTTTTTCCATGGGTTCTAAAGGGAATAAAGCAATTTCAGGTCTGAATTTTCAAAACTTGGCACACTAAACGATCAGTTAGGAGCTTTTAGTATAAATGGTTGCATTGCCTCGGTTTCCAGCACATACAGTAGTGGCAGTAAATAGTCACTAGCATTCCAGCTCTAATTCTCTGTAGGTATTTGGATGCAGTGGACCACAGTAACAATGTGCAGCGCAGAACTCCTTGGCATAGAAATGCTTGGGTAAAGTAAAGGGTATGTAACTGCATGGCTTAGTTTCATTTACAGTAGACAATTTAGAGAAATCTTTATTTCTTTGTACAGTAAACTGATAGGGAAATGTTTTGAAGGTTGCTAGTGGAGTGAGGGATCCGTGGTCATGGCAGGCAGCGGGCCAGGGGCTTCAAGTTAAATGCATGCTGGAACCCAGCTACCTACATAAAACGTCCCCGAACACACACACTGTAAGGAAAACCCCATCTTTGGCCCACAAGCCGGCACCCCTTGCAAATTCCAGAAGAGCTCTGAAAAGTTCCTCTACTACATCTGCAGGAAGTGAGATTCAGCTGCTCCTTAGAGATTTCCTACTCCTTATAACGCTTCCTCCCGTGAGTTCGTAGCTGGGACTCGGACAGTCCTTGGGACACTTGCAGGTTGCTGCTGGCATTCAGCGGCCCGGCGAGGCTGAAGGTTCTGTGGCTGCGTTTCCTCGCGTGCTTTTTTCTGAAGCACTTCTCCGTGCTGCAGCTCTGTCAGCAGGATGTCTTTGTGAGTCAGGTGAACGCTGAAGTCACATCAGCCACTGCTCTTTCTCTTTGCTGAAATGTTCTGCCCACCTGCGAGTCAGCTCCAGGTACATGTTGGGCTGGTGGGGAAGGTAATCGAGATAAAGGCGCGTCAGCGTCTTCTTGGGGACAGCTTTCTCGATCTGGGTGCCTTCGTGCCATTCGTTGAAAGATGTGATGGAGACTATCTCCGGCCTGACCGTGAGGGCAGCCTGCAGGGCTGTTTCGTAGTACTTCCCATTGACTCTGTTCCGAGTGTTGTGGTTGTTCCAGGGGCGGATGCTGGTGTCGATGTAGCCCGGGCCAACGCTGGGGATGAACATCAGGTTGTTGGAGTCGCAGAAGGTTTTGATGGCTTTCCAGTTCTGGTGGGATGAGCCAAAAGAGAAGCCGTTGGATGCAAAGTACGTGTACATGCCGTCGTATCCCGCGGAAAGGATGTCGTTCTTGTGCCCTTCCTCCACCAGCAGTGCTATGAACACGGCATCGTAGGCAGTGTTGCGGAGGGAGTGGGAGCCCGATGGTGTGAGAAGGTTGGCCCAGGATTCGGCTGGTGTCAAGTAGGAATCGTAGATATAAAACAGCGGGAGGCTCCTGCCAGTGCTGGTCCTGTACTTATAAAAAGCTGCGTGTGATCCGTATCTAGAGAGAGAGCAGAAAGCTTGTTCAGAGACTCGGGTGATAAGCCCTCAGCAGGTATCGCCATTATAAGGCAAGCGTGATGTGAGACTTGACTTGCTGTAGGGGCCTCCTTTTTCAGAACCCTTCTCTGGAACCTTTATCTCCTTTATGGGAGTGTTTTTAACTGTGGTGTTTGTGTCCTTCGTTTCCTTCTGAAAGAAAGAGGAGAGGTGCTGCCCTACATGTGATTAGCTTAGAAACCCTGAACAGAAGAAAGCAGTTTGGGGTTCTGAAGGCAAGGCATTGAAGTGCCAGAGAAAGTGGGATTTGATTATGACCCCTGGTCAGCATTGCCCTGCCGGCTAGCTCTAGGCAGCTCCCTGTGTGCTGCATTTTTGGGGACTGTTCTGATGCATTTCATTCCAAGCTCTGCACACTGTTTATGCTTAAAGCAACGTTGCTCAGCAGGATTTACCCTGCAGGAAGAACTTACTTGTCCATGATGTATTTGATATTCTCGTGCACAGTGCGGTCGTCGCGCCCTTTGTATGGCTGGATGTGGAAGGCAACCTGCAAAAGCGACCGTGGAGGGGGTTATTTTCAGCACTGTCACGTTGCTTTCTGTGCTCTGACCCCCCAGAGGACCCTCGATCTGTGCTGGAGGGCCTCCTGCCACCCCTGGGTGCCGGGGGACCCCTTCATGGCCCACGCAGAACACAGCGGGCTGCTCGGTGAAGTCAGAGCTTTCACTATTTCCACCAAAACGAGTGAAAAGTGAATTGAGGATCCAAATTACTAAGAAAAAAGCTGTCTTTAGCTGTTTAAAAATTGCTCCCATTGTCTAATTGTAAGTGCTTTTTCTTTTAACACTGAAGCAGAGGAGCAGGGCCTCTGCCCAGGCACAGCAGCAGCTTCATGCTGGAGCCGAACAATGAGCTTAATGGCCTCAAAGAGCAGCCGAGAGCCTTACCTTTATGGCATATCTTTGTGCAGCGTCCAGTATAAACGGCACGAGGCTGTCCGAGGGCTCCCCGCTGTCATCGGCTAGGCCAGGTGGGTACCACGACAGCACCAGCACTCCTGTGGGGGCACGGAATGGGTCTCGCTTAGATCCGTTTTCTTTCTAAACCTGCAGCAGCTTTCTAACCCCTGCAGCAGCAGCGCAGTAAATATTTCGTGTCATTTTAACACTTTAGAAGCCCTGGGGTGTTTAAGGGCTGGTTAGGAGATCGTGCTCTGAATTGTTGGTTATGGGGTTGTGGCGGGAGCTCTTTGAGGCTGCAAGAGGAGGGGTCTGGGGGGTAGTGGAAGCAGGAGAGGAGCAGTGGATGAGGTGGGAGCACCCTGAAGGGGCTGATGAAGGGCTGTGGGCTAGCTCAGCACCCTGGGGGTGCCAGCACCGTGTGTCACAGCCCCTGCTGCCATCCAGCAGAGCTCAGAGCCCGGTGAGCGCAGCAGTACCAGCTTCAGGCACCATGCTGGGTTTTGGGGGCCACCTTCCCCAGGGCTGGTGGCCCAAGGGGATTTGGGCTCCCCGGGGCAAGGGGCTGGGGGCTGCAGGGGGGCTGCGGGGCCCCGACTCTTACCGATGGCAGCGTCGCGGAGCTGGCCCATGTGCTCGTCCACCACGGCGGGGTCGCGGGAGCTGTAGGGGCCGAGAGCGGGGTAGAAGCTGGAGCCGATGTCGTCGGGAGGCCGGTGGCGCCCCCGGGGGTAACTGGCCGACACCTTGGGGTCCCAGTGCGGCACCAGGGCGTGGTCCCAGTGCAGGTAGCGGCCCTCGAAGCGGGGGCTGCCGTACCAGGCGTAGTAGAAAGCGTGCAGGTCGTAGGAAGGACCGGCCCCCGGCAGCATCCCGCGGCCACCGGGGGGTTCGGGGGGCTCGGCCACCCCGGGGGGGACACCGGCGGGGAGCCCGGCGGCGGCTCGGAGCGTGCGCAGCGCCATCACCGTGCCAAAAACGAAGAGAGAAGCCAGCAGCAGCGCCAGCATCCCCCGCCGCCTCCGCCGCGGCATCGCCCGGACCCGGGGCTCGGTGCCGGGGACCCGGCTCGGCCCCGTCGAGGATGCCCCGATCCGCTGGGCGCTGCCGGGGGCCGGGGGGGGGGGGGCTCGGTGCGGCTCCGCACCGCCCCGGCTCGGCTCTCGGTACCCCCCGGAGCCCCCTGTTGGCTGCGGTCGGGGCTGCAGAGCCTCCGCCCGGCCCCCGCTGCCCCCCCCCCGCCGGCCGCTGTTCGCCTCCCCCGCTCCCGGTCCTGGTCCCGGTCCCGGTCCTGGAGGCTCCACCGGGGGCTGAGCCGTGCCCCGGGGTGCCAAGAGCCAGGGGGTGGTGGTTCCCTGCTTAAAGGGTGCAAGGTCTGTCCCTGGAGGGGCTGCGGATGGTGCTGGGGGGCACCAGGCACCTGAAGATGATGCTCAGCATCCTTGTGATGTTCTGCATCCTCGCCTGTGATGCTCAGCATCCCTCTGATGCTCCGCATCCTTGCCTTTTGGCTGATGGGGGCCTAGGGTGGGAGAGGGGAGGCTGCTGACTGATGGGGAGGGATGTAGGATGCTCTCCGTGCCCAGTTCCCGAGTGAAACCCTTGAAACGAGTGGTTGGTGAAGGATTAAACTCGTTGAAGGAAAGGAAAACACGCTCCAGCAAACACTGAAATGTGACTATCGGAGCTGTTAAAGGAAATAACATTTTAATTGGGTGAATCTGTTATGCACAAATGTTACAGGCGATAAAACGCCTGCTAAATGGAAACCCAGTAATGAGATAAACCTGTCGGGGGAACCAATTGCCTGTAAACCAGAAACAGGCTTTTGAGGCTCCCCAGCAGGTCTGGGGCATCCGTTATTTGGCTGAAGCTTGTGCCGCCCCACATTGGGAACCTTCTGGCAGCATTTCCTCACCCCAGCCACCCATCCAGGGTCATGGTCTGCAGGAGGCGCAGGGGTGAGCATGAGCAAGGTGTGGAAACCACCAGGAGTTTGCCCTTCAGAGCTTTAGGTGGTTTTTGGCTGCGTTAGATGTGTGCATTGACTGTGGAACTGGATGCACAGTCATTGGACTGTGTGATACTTAAAAAATGGGAAAAAACACCTTGGTTGTGAGATATTGTGTGTGCCCAGAGCGGTCTTTACAGTGCTAACGAAACTCCCCTTGGACTCAAAGACAGTCCCATGTTTTAGACGACACTGAGACATCACCTAGAGCAAACTGGGTATGGCTGGTGCCCTGCACAGTGATGCCAGCAAGGTTTCTGCTGCCACCCCTCATCCTGCAGGCTCTTGGGTGCTGCTGTCTGCCTGGTGCTGGAACACCTTGGTCCCTGGGCACACAGCAGAGCCATGTGTGTGGTTTCTTCTCACACCTCCCTCCAGCAATTGCTGCTCACTGGTCCCCCCTCTGGTGCCTCTGTTCCTTCCAAGCTCCTGTCCTGCTGGGGATCCTGTGGAAGCAGGTATTTCAAGTCGTAGTCCCCGCTGCATTTCGTGCTTCACCACATTTGGCTGCTACAGATGGCACAGAGCTGGCTGGCCTGGTGCATGCTCGGGGTTGGCACTCACATCTGCCTGGGCCTCTTCAGGGACTTGGTGGGCTTCGTTCTCCCCTTTGCCTCTCCCTTGCTGTCATCTGCTTGAGATGAGGCCACTTTTTAATCTAATTTCATGCCTGCCACATGTGGGTGCAGGGAGAATTGTGCTGAGCCAGCTAGCTCAGGAAGTCACTTGTGATGTGTTCTTAGTCTTTTTTTTTTTTTTTTTTTTTTCCTGAGTCATTTCTTTCATTTGCTTATGTGAAGGACGTGGCTGTCTGTGCCCTTCCAGTTGGCAGGCCCTTGCGCCTGAGCAGCCCTGAGCCACCAGGACCCAGCTGCAGGGAAGGAGGCGCTGGGGCAGCGTGCGACTACTTTTTGATGGACAATTTTAAATTGCTCTATTCAGCCCATCATCCCACAAGTAGCTGCTGTCATTTTCTTCCAAATAGCTACCTTCGGGCTACTTGGAGAGGTCAGGCTGCAGAGAGGGATGCTCCTGGGAGGTGGGAAGAGCTTTTTCCTTCCTGTATCTTGTGCCAAGGACAAGGACACTGGATGGAAATCTGCAGACCAGTGAATTCACCGTCACTCTTCTCCCTCTGTGAGTTCAATGGCTTTAAAAACCATCTGTGACATTTAATTTATGAACTGGCAGATGAAGGCAGGACAGAACCACCTAAATACAAATATTCATAAATGTTGAGCAGGGGGCATGTGGGTACAAGTCGAGCTGTGTGGGTCTAACACAGCCACAGCTAAGGAAGAACAAGGGTGGCCTGGCTCAGCCAGCATCTCTGCTCCCTGTGGGATTTGGCACTCCCGTGGTATCACAAGGGGCTGTGGGGTGGGTCAGCTTTTCCTGGAGTCCCACCCTGAGCCCACCCAACTAAACCCCCTGTGGCACAGAATGCCCAGAAACCCAAGTTCCTCAAAATTTTCAAACCAAGGCACTTTTCACTGCTGCACTGCTGGCAATGACACTTGTCCTAGACGACTTCTGCTGGTTTCCTCCGCTAACATCGCCCGTACAGGTGTATCCGCAGAGCCCGTGAGCTCAGCAATACCCACAGCCTTTCACTCCCAGCCTCCGGAGCCCTGTGTGACCACTAGATAGTGCTCGGCCACCGCAGGGAGCGTTGCAGCAGGCCTGACGGTTTGTTCCTGTGCTTAAAAACATTCATAAAGGAGTGCTGTGCAGGGGCTCGGAGCGGCGCAGATGGCAGCTTGTGTGCTGAGCTGCCTGTGCAGGGGAGAGGCTGCAGGGGAGCAGTACGGAGGGGCTGCTCTGCTGCTGCTTGCTGCATGAAAAACCCATGCTGGGATGATTCCTCCCAGCGTCTGAGTGTCACGGAATGGTTATGTATCTTTATTGCTCATGAGCAGCTGTCTCAGTCGCCGCTAATGGACTGTAATCCACACAGAGCTGACCCCGAAATGATGGCTTCACAGAAATTGCCTGTCTGCGGAGCTCCTGCTGTAAAAGCCTGGAAGCGCCAGGCTGCGTGAGGTGCTGTCATCTGCAGAGCGTGTGCGTGACGGGGCTCCGGGTGCTTGCCCTTCTCGCAGCCTTTGCTCTTCCCTGGTCTTTTCAAATCAGGTACCCCGCAGGAAATCTGCAACAGAGGAAAATAAAAGAGGGATGGCTTCCCTTTGGTCTGCTTGCTCAGGACCCTCTCTCTGCCACAACTTTGAGCCCAGGGGAGAGAGCAGGGCACAGAACATCCACCCTCAAGCCGGCTGCCTGGTGGTGACATGGGTGATCCATGCGCCAAAGTCCCGATGACACCGATCCCAAACAGAGCCAGAACCAGCTGTCCCGAGGCCTGGCTTCCCCCTTGCTTGTGGTGCGAAGGTAAAGGCTGTTTGGGGACTCACTGTAACAGCTCACCTTACTGAGCCTTTTCTCTACTTTCTGTTGCTTTCTGTATTTGCATAGTGAGCTTGCCCCCCCGCCTCATTCCTCAGCTCATCAGCTATTCATTGATCTTTGCCAGGCTCCTCCAGCGCTCATTCATCACTCTCACACCCGCTATCCACTTTCCAAATGTTTCCTATTTTTCCGGTGATGTATTTCCCTGTTCAGACAAGCTAATCTTGTGCCATCAATAATCCGGGTGCAGCTGTGCTCGTGACCTCCGCACTGGAACAGGCCCAGCATGGGGCGACAGAGCCGCAGGGACCAGCCAGGGTGAACCACGTCCACCTGCCTGCTGGGAGACTGCTGCAGGAGCAACTCCCTCACTTCGGAGACTGTAGAATCCCAGAATCCCAGAATCATTAAGGTTGGAAAAGCCCTCCAAGATCGTCTGGTCCAACCACCACCCACTGACCCTGTCCCCCAGCACCACGTCCAACCTCTCCCTCAACACCCCCAGGGACGGGGACTCCCCCACCTCCCTGGGCAACCCGTCCCAACGCCTGAGCGCTCTTGCTGAGGAGAAATGTCTCCTCATTGCCAGCCTGAACCTCCCCTGGCACAACTCGAGGCCGTTCCCTCTGCTCCTGGCACAGTTCCCTGTGAGCAGAGGCCGACCCCAGCTCCCCACCCCTTCCTTCCAGGCAGTTGCAGAGAGCAATGAGCTCTGCCCTGAGCCCCCCTTCCCCAGCCCAAACACCCCCAGTTCCCTCAGCTGCTCCTCACAGGACTTGTGCTCCAGGCCCCTCACCAGCTTCGTAGCCCTTCTCTGGACACACTGCAGGGCCTCGACGGCCTTCTTGTGCTGAGGGGTCCAAAATTAAACACAGGACTCAAGGTGTGGCCTCACCAGAGCTGAGCACAGACAGTACAGGCTGAGTACAGTAAAGCAGGTGCAGATCCACGATGCCCACACAGCCGCCAAGGGCTGCTCTCCCTGTCCTGCTGGGTAGAGAGCTGGAAGTCTTCAAGGAGCTGAGGAAAAGCCATGAGGCAGAGCAACCTCACTTGAAGAGGGCTGGCTTTGCTGCCTGCTCTGTGGTGCCCGGAGCCTGCTCTGTCTGACACGGCCTCGCTTGGCTTTTGTGATGGCAGAAGACAAGGGAAATGTATTGTATCGGTTGGTGCCTCTGTTTGTGGCTCATTCCAAGCTGCTGGCATTCAGTGTCCCTGCAAGTGACAGCTTTATTTGTGCCACTGGCATCAAGAGGACGAGCCGCATGTCAGGCATGGGTGAAGCGGCTGGTGACCTTGTTCCTTTGCAGGAAATGCAGGCTCTATAAATTACTTCTTTCCTCTGGCTTCTGGGTGTCTGCAGGCCATCGTAGCTGTCACGATGATGAACTCAGCACCAGCTAACGCCACCAGCCTTTGTGTCAGCATTTGGGCACTGTCAGCACCGGCACAGAGCGAAGCCAGGCAGATTTGGGGTGGGAGTGGAGGGGGCTGGGATGTGAGCAAGAGCTGCTCCTCGCTGGGGAACAGCTCAGCAGTTTCCCGTGAGATCAGATGATGCAGTGTAATTGCACGAGGTTTAACCAGAGCTGCAGCCCGTGCTCCTGGGAGGATGGGGATCGCTCAGTCCCTGAATGCTGTGGGAGGAAAGTCCCACGTCACGGCTGCTGGACCCCTCTGTGGTTACATTTGGGGTCTGGGCAGGGGGCAGAAGCATGGCCCTGAGGGGTCCCAGTCTGGCAAGTTGCCGCTGCCAGCAGAGGTCCTGCCATGCAGCTCCGTGTGTGAAACAAGGAAAAAGGTTTGCAGTTGCTCTCGTTATTATTTACACTGAGAAATCACGTTAATTGGACCAAGGCAGGTGTGGGCCTTACAGAAAAACCAGCTAAGCAGCAGGAGCGTGCAGGACAGAGCTGCTTTCAGACTGAGCCCCAAACCTGGGGCTTTCCCCTCAGGGGCTGGCTCTGTGCTGAGCTGAGGCTCCCACGAGGCCAGACCTTGTCCTGCTGCTGGTGAAGTCTATGAGGACGTTGGTTTTGGTGCTTGTTTGGTGGTGTTCCACCCCTAAATTGTCACATCCCTAAATGGGGACCCTGCTGCTGGGCTGGGGGACTTTCTGCAAGGACTCGGAGCCAGGAGCTGGGCTGTGGGGGGACGTGGAGCTGGTGGCAGCAAACTCCTGGGACGCTGCGAGCTGTATTTTGGTGAGATGCCTCGTGCAAATGCTCTCATCGCCAGTTAGGACATGCTGATCAGACAAACAGCTTCTGCTGGAGTGAGGAGAGATGCCTATTTAGATCTTGTAGGTGGAACTATAAACACTTTCCTAAGCCAATTCACAGGAGCTGCGCAGATTCAGGGTGACTCTTGTGTTTGCAACCCTTGTTGAAATCACATTGGCATGAGCGCTCGGAGCAGGAAATACACGGCTTGCATTTTAATTAGCGCTTGACCTCCAAATAAAGATGCGTCTTTAGAACCTCATTAGCAGAGCTGCTTCGAGCTCATCTAGCAGTGATTCCAGTGAGCTACACCACACCAGGCAGCTTGGTCTGCCTTGAGGGCAGGGGTGGTGCTGCTGAGTGTCTGACCCATTCCATCCTTCCTGAAGCCACTGGGGAAAAATATTGTAAGGGATTTTTGGATTTTTGTCCGGAAGCCTCGGCTGAGTTACCAGTTTTGCCTGATGGGTGGGCAGTTGCTGGGAAACTTTTGCTTCTCACCTGCACTCTTATCTAGTGGTGGTTATCAAATGCTTCCCTGTGTGCCATGACGTGGTTCTTCCTGCGGTTGCTGGTGGTTAGTGGGCTGTGGCTCTTCATACCCTTTTTTAAAAATAATTGTGTGGCTGCTTCATGGCAGAGGGGGGAATTTTCACAGTGGGGTAAGTGAAGCATCCTTTATTGAGGACTTCAGTTTGTGGTTTGGAGAGCTGTAGGAAGCAGGGTGTGCTTATTGCAGGGAGAAGAGTAGGCAGGTGTAAGCATATCAGAGCCCAAAGGTGCCGGGGAGGCCCTTCCTCATCAGGACGTCCTTCTCCCTTGGGGAAGCCAAGGCTGGGATCAGTGGCATGCCCAGGGTGAGGTGCTGTGTCTCTCACATCTCTACCTCTGTGTCCAGAGGGTGCTTTGCCTCTCAAGCCACGGATGTCACTGAAGGCAGAGCAGCCAAGTCCCGCTTTGGTGGGTCCAGCAGAAGCACATCTACAAGGCTGGAGCATCCTCCCTGTCCCAAAGTGGCTGGGAGGCCTGTGCAGTAGCATGTTTCCAGCAGAAAAACGCCTCTCCCAGAGATCCTGCTGGCCAGGGCATCTGCTGGAGTGGGCCAGGGAGAAGTTTTCCTCCTCCACCACCACCCGAGCCCCACAGTGTTGCTTCTCCAAGCCCTTGCTCTACTCCACAATCCAGAGCAAAGACAACCAGGCTTGGGCTAATTAAGCTGGAAACATAACGTTACAATTTGTAGCTGATTAAATCTTTCAAACAATATTTATGTTAATCTCCTTCTGATTTATTTTCTTGTAATGCCTCGAGTAGGAGATAGTCCACTGCATGGGGAAATGGCTCCAGATGGAGCACGGTCCGCCTCGCCAGATGCTTTGAAGCTTGGAGTGAGGATTTTTCACTCACCGTGGGTGTAGCCAGGAGAGCTGATCCTGTCCAGTTAGGCCATTTTTGTACATGGAGGGGGATGCAAAGCTGCAGTTTTGATTTTTTTTTGCCGCAGCAAGGAGGCTGCCTGTAGAAGGAAGGGGTTGTGAAACAGCACGTGGGAAGGAAGGGTCACCTGGCGGTGCTCTGCTTTCGGAATGCTCTACCTCTCCTACACACACCTCGTGTCTCAGAGCCAGGGCTTTGCTACTGCAGGAGGAGGCTGCTGTAAAATGCTCCTTCGAGTTTACTGCGGGAAATTACAGGGGCCTACTGCAGAAAGCAGCTTCCTTCTGCATGCTGCGCATGCCTGTCCACGGACACCGTGCTGCAGCCCCTCTTCCAGCTCCAGACTTGGCTGGATGCCTGGCAAATTTCCCCAGGATGCTGATTTAAGGAATTAGTCTGCAGAAGCATGGATGATAGGGACAGAAGGGACCTTGCAGCCATCTGGAGAGTCCCCTTCCCCAGACAGCAGCCCCTCGCCCACATCCCTCCAGACACATTTGTCAGATTTACTCTCAGCTCCCTTTGCTGGAGGAAATTCTACCTGGCTGCTGCTCATTGTCTTCTTTTCTAGTTCCTTATAAGAAAATGTTTATTGGTACCAGAGTTTTTCAGGGTAATGTGGTCTGTGTAACCCATCTCCTTTTTTTTTTTTTTCCTCCTTATTTTCCTAAAGGCTGCAATTTGTCCTTTCTGGTCTTGACACGTTGGAGATGGCTGCTGGGGAGCCGGCGTTTCAGCACTGTCCAACCCCACCAGCCGGCGCTGAGCAGCTTCTCTCAGCTCTCTGAGCTGAAAGTGCACCGCTGGCAGCACTCACACAGTGTGCTTCTTCGTCTCATTAGGGACTGATGAAAAAAAAAGGCACGAAAGCCAGGCTGAGGCTGCCCCCAGCAGAATGTCCTCTCTGCAGTGAGGCGACTGTTGTGTTGCCATTTCTGTGCCCAAGAGCAGGACAAGGCTCTCTGGCTGGGTGGGAGAAGGTCCAGTCCTCTCAGGAAAAGATACCACTGGGCAGTTGGGGCCAGGAATCGCTGCTGCTGGGTGCTCGGAGGTGTTTGTCCCCAGGGACGTGCCTGGGGACGAGGGCACGGGGTGTCATGCGGTGCCACCAGTGCCATGGGCTGGAGCCATGAACAGCCTCAGCGTGCAGGCAGGATGGCTCTAGAGGTCAGGGGGTTTTCACTGCGGAATTGTTAAATTAACTATTCATTTAATTATATTTTGATTAAATTAGATTTTTTTTTTTTCTAATTTCACCGGCAAATGATTCTCTGCATAATTAATGCTGGCTGATTCTGCTAATTCCCTCACTGCTGCTGCGGGGACGGAGGTTTCGGGGCAGCAGGCTGACCCTGCTGCTGCCTCCTGGGAGCTGCTGCTGGGGGCTTCCACGGCACAGGGGGCTCCTGGGGGAGCCCTCTTGTCCCGGGTCACCCTACCAGTCCCCTCTTTGCAGTGAACCCATCCATTTTCTCCACGAGCCAGCTCTCTCCTGGGTCTATAATGCTGTTCCACATTAACTCTGCCCACAAGTAGCCGGGAAGTGGGCAGGCTGCACCTCTGTCAAGTGCAATTACTTCGTTACGCCGTGACGCAAAGTGTCATTAGCCCAGGCTTCCTTTGACAAGCTTTGGGGTGGGGGGCAGGAGCCTGCTGCACAGTGCAAGCAGTGTGGCTGCACCGCATGGCTCTGGGGTCTTGTGGATCCCTCATCTCCTAAGGGACACCGTCACCCTCATGGGGACCAGCCTGTCCCTGCCTCACTCAAGTCCCGGGGCAGTTTTTAGAGACCTCCATGGGGAGAAAGCTGTGGCAGTGCTTAGGAGGACGTGGTGAGCTGATCCAGCAGCCAGGCACGGGGCTAAGGGAGACCCTAGGAGCACAACTTCATCCTGCTGCCTTGCTTGGGGACAAAACCCCCAAACCGCAGCTTCCCAGGGGCTTGCAAGAGCTGGTGAAGCCATCCTTCCAGGGGGCTGAGCTGACGAGCTGTCTCCCGGTGAGAAACAAATTTAGTTAACCTCAAATTAGTCAGGAGAATGGGAGACTCTTCTTTGAAACGGTGTCATTCAAACCGTTGCACCTGAAATTATCCCCAGTAGAAATGCAGCTGGAGATGATAATTAATTCACCACGCTCCCTTAATTAATTCTGCAGCCTCTTGCTCTAGCGTGCCTTTGACGAGCCACGTCAAGCAGCCGTGCTGGGCAGGGAGCCCCAGGGTGGGCAGCGGGGTCCCTGCTGGCCCCGGTGTAGCTGGCTGTCAGAAGGTAATTTTCATTTTTTTTCCCCTTGGTTTGTAGTCGCATCCTTTAAATACCCTTCAGTCTCTGACAAGTTTCTTGAGGCGCAGAGAGACCGCTTCCAGGTGCCTGAAGGGAGCAGAAGTGGCGAGTCTAGAGGGATTTTGGGTTTTAATCAGGGAAGCTCATCTTTTAAAAACCTGCAGTGGGAGCAGGACAGACACTTTAATTGTGTGCTTGGTCTAAAGAGGTGGGGGGCTCTCGCCCACCCTCTGCAGGTCTGTGATGATCAGCAAACCTAAAGGCAGCATCCAGCCTCCTCCGAAGGGGCAGCACCAGCGCAGAGCCTGAGCCTGCGGCTCCGCTCGTGCTTCCCTGCTCAATGCTTCTGCGAATAACCTCGTGGAAATGATGCCAATTAGGCCGGCACAGCTCTTGTAATCCGGATCCCTGTTGTGCTGTCAGACTTGATTCAAATTTAATTTGCAGTAGGTGTATATCAGGCAGCTTTTTTACTTAGCGCAAAACCGAGAGGAAGATAACGTTGATGGAAAAAATAATACGAGTTCATATTCTTTTTACCTTAAGGAAGGAGAAGAGGTGCCAGAAAACTTAGCCAGATTTACATTTTAATGGGAAACGTTACGACTGCCTGCTCTGGGAGTCACAAATTGCTTTCTGGATGGGCCCCTGCCTTCATACCTAAGTGCAGGGAGTTAAACTTAGCAACCCCTGATGAGATGAAAGGGATTTATAAAACACAGCCGCTGCCAGCAGCCCGACACACGGGACAGCCAGGCAGTGTCCCCCTGCCAACCTGCCCAGCCCTGGGGTTTTGCCCCTGCTGATGCCCCCCTGTTCCCAGTCAATGGGCCCGGGTGGAGGCAGGCTGGTAAGCGGTGGTGTGCCCGTGCTCCTGGGGGGTTTGCAGCTTTTTGCAGCGGCATTGGCTGTGCTTGCTGAAGTGCTGCTGCAGCTCCTGCTGCTGAGAGCCTGGCAGCTCCCTGCCTGTGATCCACAGCCCCAAACACGAGGTGCTCCAGCAGCGCTGCCAGCCCCGTATCTTAGACCCCGCAGGGACAAAAGCTCTGCCCGGGCAGTGCTGCCTTAAATTTCTTAGCGTTGTAAAGCTCTTTGAAGATGAAAATGCAGTGCTGTGCTGCCTCTGACAGTGCTGACACCTGCAGCTGGTTCTGGTGCTTGCAGGAGCCCAGCAGGCGCTTGCCTCTGCTGGGACTGAGCCTGGGGAGTCGCAGGGCTCAGACTGGGGAAGCATCTTGTGTCTCCCTGCAGCAGCTCTGGGCTCAGGCTGGCCAGGCAGGGCAGCTGGTGTGCTGCTGTCCAGCCCTTGCACTTGCAGCAAAAGAATATTTGAGCTCTTTGTAATTTCCCTGGGTCGTCCAAGTCCCTCGCTGCTGCTGCTGGGGTCCCACAGACATCCCAGCTGTCATCAGTCCCAGCTCCCTTTTTTCTGCATGCTTGTCCTGTCCTGGTGCTAAAAACCCTGCCTGCACTAGGGATGCGTTTGGGGGATTCACCAGCCTCTGAGCTTGTTTTTCCAAATAATTTCTCTGCACTCAAAGGCAGCTGGTTTACTACCTGCATTAGATTCTTTCTCCCAGCAGCGGGTTAGCAGAGCTCTATTTGCCTGAAATATTCCTGCTAGTAACACCTGAGGTGCCTGAATAGCTGAACCAGCCTTCAATAATGCAAGCAGCTCAGCTCACCAACTATTTGTGTACTTTGAAGTGTTGCTGGTGATTATTTTTCCTGTTGTGAGGAGGGAGGTCGCAGCTCTCCATGGGGTCTCTGCGGTGTCCCTGCCTTCGACTCCTGCTGCCTCCTCCGGGCTCTCCCAACCTCTGGGGAGCAGAATGGGAGCGTGGAGGGGAGGCAGCAGTGGCTGGTGGAGGAGATGCAGGGGATGGGTGGCTGGGGCTGTACCGGCTGATGGCGTGTCCTCGCCCGGCGGTGCCGAGCTCGCCGCCAGGCAGATGGTGAAGGCAGCGAGCAGGAGGCTTCAGGCAAAGGCATCGCTCAAATGCGCCGACACTGTGCTTGTTGGGGATGCTTCCAATCCAATAACAGAAGCAAAAGCATCGCTGTTAGAGGCTCGACCCGAGCAGATGCTCTGGCACCCACAAGGCTGCTTCCCTGGGTGAAGCAGTGTCACTGTCTGGAATCCGAAGCAGTGATAAATCGTAGGTGACCTTCAGTAATTTATTACTGCCTCGTGCAAAGCAGTGCCGTATCTCTGGGCCAGTTTCTGGGCATCTGCCTGAGATCACAGTAATTCCAATCTTTAGCATCGTAATAGGTTTGTCATGGGTTAGATAATGATAAAAGGCGGGGGACGGAGGCGGATACCGAGCTGCTGGAAGCAGAGCAGGGCACGCACCAGTGCCGACTGCCAGCGACATTTGCTGACGTGGGAAATGCCACCCTGGGCTGCTGCTTCTGCAGCACCGGGCAGGCTCTCCCAGTGGCACCAGTGGCTCTTCCCCACTGGGACGGGGAGAGGTTGTCTCTAACATTTCCATATTGCCAGGCATTAGCAGGCACTGGGCTGCTGCTGCACACTGTGTTCACAGAAGTAAGACTAATGCAGTTAGCGAGAGGCGATGGGTGAGGCGCTGAGGATGCTGCGCTGTTTGCGGTGCTCAGATGTTCCCTTAATGATACGGAACCGCTCGGGGCGCGCGCCGTGGGTTTAGATTTCACAGCCACACGCTGAGCTCGTGCCCAAATGCTGGGCTGGAGGCAGCCAGGCAGGAGCTGCAGAGCTCCTGGGTTGCATGTGAGGGTGGTTTGGGTAAAATGGGTGAGAGCTGAATACTGGGGGCTGGTAGGTCTTGGTCCTTCAGGAGTGTTGGTGGGCATCTGTCTGGGCCTAAGATATAGCTTCAGGTGTTTCAGCATGGTTAGTTTTGAAATCTTGAGCAGCTCTGGGGCGTTTTGGGACAGATGGAGTGCAGAAATGTCTGTCAGGATCTCAGGCAGAGCCACAGGAAGGACAATTGGTGCACCCCATGATCAGCTGTGCTGAAATGGAGCAAGGGCCTGGGAGCCTTCCTGCTGCTGGTGGTGGTGGCTCTCAGGGTTTGTCCTGATGCTATGCCAAGCCTTTGTCCTTTCTCTTGCGTGTTCTGCCTCCACATCAGTGTTTCAGCACCATGGAAGGATGCTGAGGACTCCCTGGGATGTTCACACCCAGGCCAGGCTCCAAAATACTTCCAGCTTCCTCCAAGTGAGAATAACGTGGGCTTAGCTGGAGTGAATGTCATCCCCCCTTACAGGGAAAAAGTCACAGGGAGAAAAAAAGTGTTTCTAAAAGCCAAAAACTTCCCCTGATACTTCAACGTTGAGGCAAAATTTACATTTTGATTTTGGAAATCGATAGCAATTCACAAATAATTCTCCCGCATTGCTACAGGTCATCCATCAGCTGTGGGCCTCTGCTCGATAGGAGCCGTTATTGGCTTCTGTTTGTTTGTTTGCTCAATATTAGCGGTTTGTTCAGCTGTTCTCCAGGTCTGTATTATAATGACAAATTACAGACTTTGTTTTTTCCCCGAGAAGTCTTAGGAAATGCAGATGGATGACATCATTCCAGTGCTGTGGAGCCAGGACATGAGAGCAGCATCAGCTGCGAGCATCTGGGATGAGATTTGGTCGCATCTCCTCATGGGGACGGGGAGATTTTGCTGCTACCAGCACGGGGCCTGGCTGTGTACCCATGGGCAGCGAGGTGACATGTCTGTACCCCTGGGGACACAGGACTGATGAATTCTGCTGCACGATGCTGCGGGAAATGGTCACACAATGATGAGGGTTTGGTTAAAGGTTGGGTTCTGGGTGGCCTCGGTGCCTGGCAGCCTGAAGTGGCACTGGGGCCACATCCAGAGGCTGTCATTAACCAGCGCTGATGTTTCCTTTCTGCTTAAACCTGTGATTTTGTTCTGCTTTCTGAGCTGAATAGAGCGAGATAAAGCCCTCTGACGCGTGAGAGCACCTTTGAGCTGCCTGTCAGTCCAGCAGTGGGGAAACTGGGATGGATTTTGTTCAGCAATGCTGCTGTCAGTCAGGAGTAAACTAAACCACCTGAAGGCTAAGGCATGAGGGCAGCACCTCCGTGATGTGCAGGAGAGACCCAGCAGCACCTGGGTGGTGGCTCCTAGAGGGTTTTGGGGTCAATTTACCCAAATGAGAGACTCCTCAATATTTAAATGACCCTTAGCCTTTGGGTGCAAATCTCCTGCTTCAGGCCTGAGATAAAAGCAGCAGACCTGAGCCGTTCTTGAGGATTTTTTGGCACCTGTGGGTGCGGTGAGGGGTGAATACCAGAGAGGATGGAGTGGGCTGAACCCATCCCAGAGCCTCTGGGCTCTGCAGGGCCATGGCTGCTCGCCAGCACTGGGCCCCTGCTGTTATGGGCAAATTGTCTGCCAAACGTCTTTTTAATACTGCAAGAAATAACTTGATTAGTAATTATTGGTGCAGAACACTTGGGGAGCTTCTGCAAAACGCAAGGACAGGCCGTTTCGCTGGAGCTGCCTGTCAGTTTTGTCATCTAATTATAAGACTGTTCAGTGCCACAGCTCTGGACAGAGAGAATAAATAAAAAAAAAAACCTCAGTGTAATTGTATTGGTCATATTTTGTAGGCACTAATTACTCGCTTAGCAATTAATGTTTCTATGGCTGACTGGGGAGCTGTCATGGCCTTGGTGGGGGATGAGCGGCTCCATGCTGCTGGCTGGGCAGCTCCAGGGTTTATTAAATGAGGGTCTGAGGGATAGAGGAGGGATCCCCAAGGGGGGAGCTGATGGGGATGGGGCAGACTTGGGCAGTGGCAGGTCCCAGGCATGGTGGAGGAGGCGCTGGGATTCTCTGCAAGGGTGAGCGAGATGGGATGAGAAAGAGGAAGGATGACCCTGAAGGAGAGGAGTGACAGGCACTGAGGCTATTTATTGTTTGCTGTTTGTTCCTAACAAGCATCATTTTCAGCTTAATAATGGTGGCAGGACG